CATTTGGTGACTTTTGGCTGAAGTCAATATTAGTGTGACCTCTTTGGTTGAAAGACTTCTCATCCCCATTTCACCGGGTCATTCCTTCCTTTGGTTTGAATAATCTCTGAGAATCTGCAAAAACCACATCATTGTCAAGAAGTTAAAAGCAATTGATAAGTTGTTCTGGTAACACCTGTCAGAGAATTAACTCAGAGCACAAAACCCAGGTATTTAAGGAGTTGACAAGTATTATTAAACCTGTTTTGCAAGAAAAGCAGCTGGTTCAAAGAGGGAAAAGCTGTCAAAAGTAATACAATCAGTAAAGCTCAGGCCTCCTGCCTGACACACCCAGGCTCTAACCACGTGGCCTCTCATGGCAGGGAAGACTGGGGCCATGTATGAACATTTATCACTGTTCCTTTCAGTTCTAACTAAAGACGTTGTAGCATTTTTAAAGCTATGAATTTGTTTTAAATTCAAATATATTTCTTAGGCATGGTTTTCTCTGTTCAGGTTTTCTCCCTCATTCAGACATTTACACTATTTTTACCTTTAAATGGTATAACAATGTATTTCTACTAGTACTGTTTCCTTTTTAATTTGAGCAATTCAATTATTCTGTCTCTGACACTCTGCTAAACCTCTTTTTTTTTTTTTCTTTAATTAGAACAAATCATAGTAATGCTTTCATCCCAGGAGATGGTGCTTTGTGCAGGTGCTTTCTTGAACCTGAACATAATTTCATGATTTCAATAAGAAAGATAGGAAAGTCTAATTCAAAGTAAATTAGGATTTATAATTCAGGAATAATGCTGCCTGTTTGTAACTAACTTTCTAGTTGCTCTCTCCCTCTTCAGTTTATTTACTTTAAAAATAAAAATAAATCAGCCATAAACTGTCTTAGTCTGGGTTTAACAGAAACCAGAGCATAAGACAGAGGCTTAAATGCACTTACTTGGTTAGCACTATAATCCAGGAGTCAAAAGCAGGGGACAGGGAAGAAGGAAGAGCCTATACAACTTGACATTGTCAAGTTGGCCACTGGCTGCTCAGTCCTTCAGGACAGCCTGAGAAGACAGAAGCCCAGGTGTGGGACAAGAGCAGCATTGAGTAAGACTCTGTTAGGTGACACCTGCAAGAAGCCAGCTGGTACCCATGAAGAACTGGTGACTAGTAAATGAGGCAGAGAGGCCACATGAATCTGAAGCAGGGACAAGAGGTATCGCATGATACACTAAATTATTCTTGTATTTATTTATGTGCATAAGAATATAAAGTAAAATATGAACTTTTACTCCCCACCCTTCTTTGTGAATACCTGTCATTTAGCTTTTCACCTGTTACGCATGTACATGTCATGGGAGAACATATACATATATCTTTTCCTTTTAAAAAACATAAATCAGCCAGGCACAGTGGCTCACGTATGCAATCCCTACACTTTGGGAAGCCAAGGTGGGAGAATCACCTGAGCCCAGAAGTTCAAGATCATCCTGGGCAACATGGTAAAAACCTGTCTCTACAAAAAGATACAAAAGATTAGCCGGGGTGGTAGTGCACACCTGTGGTCGCAGCTACCTGGGAGGCTGACGTGGGATGATCATCTGAGCCTAGGAAGTTGAGGCTGCAATGAACCATCTTTGTGTTGCACTTCAGCCTTAGCAACAGAGCAGACCCTGTCTGAAAAAAAAAAGAGAGAATCAGACCAGGCGCAGTGGCTCATACCTGTAATCCCAACACTTTGGGAGGCCGAGGCAGCTGAATCAGGAGTTTAAGACCAGCCTGACCAATATGGTGAAACCCTGTCTCTGCTGAAAATACAAAAAAAAATTAGCTGAGCGTGGTGGTGGATACCTGTAATCCCAGCTACTCAGGATTGAGGTAGGGGAATCACTTGAACCAAGGAGACAGAGGTTGCAGTGAGCTGAGTTGATCCCACTGCACTCCAGCCTGGGAGACAGAGTGAGACACCACCTCAAAAAAAAAACAAAAATGAATCAAACATACTGATCTCCTTATTCCGTGACATATTTTCTTCACTCATGTATTACTTGCGTCAGGGTTAGGTTAACAAGTTTGTTTTGCCTTATAAGAGGTACATCAGGAAACAATGATGAACATTAGTTGAATTAGTGCATGAATGAAGGCATATATGACTTCTAGTTACAGTTCTTGCTTGTGGAAGAGGAATGCTGCTGATACTGGGAATGCAATGGGCAAGATCTGGTAAAATATGGAGTTGTCATTGTCAGACAATTGCCCAGTCATCCCTGCCAGTCTCCCCTCTTTCCCTAATCAACACCTCCACATCTTCATTTCAGAACAGGAATAGATGCTATATGGGGGAGACACAGAAAAGAGACAAAGAGAGGCTGGGCATGGTGGCTCATCCCTGTAATCCCAGCACTTAGGGAGACTAAGGCAGGCAGATCACTTAAGGTCAGAAGTTCGAGACCAGCCTGGCCAACATGGTGAAACCCTGTCTCTACCAAAGATACAAAAATTAGCCTGGCGTGGTGGCGCATCCCTGTAATCCCAGCTACTTAGGAGTCTAAGGCAGGAGAATCCCTTGAACCCAGGAGGTGGAGGTTGCAATGAGCCGAGATCATGCCACTGTACCTCAGCCTGGGCAACAGAGAGAGATTCCGTATTAAAAAAAGAAAGAGAGACAAAGGGAGACTCTTACAAAAATGTGTTCAGTCAGCAAATATCTGTTAACCTTATGTCCCGTGACAGACACATTGCATAAAATGGAGAACATGACAGAGTTGATCCCTGTCTTCATTCAGGGAAAGTCTACAGATGAGGGAAGAAAGAGACAAGAGAGGGGAAGAATACAAAGGAAAAAGAGGAGAAAAATTACTCAAGTAATACATGAGTGAAATACCAAAGGAGTGAAGAAGTTCAGTGATCACTGAATTAATACAGTGCTCATGTTAATATATGTTAGAAATGAGTTTAAATCCCAGCCATCTGCTCCCACATCAAACACACCTACTGTGCCCATGATTTTGCCCTTCCACCACTTACATATACATCCCAGTAATAATCTGGTGATTTTCTAAAATGAATTCTCACAGTCAATAATAAAAATTACACTTGATTCAAATCAGTGAATTGTGACCCAGATCTAACTATAAATATAGTGGAAATCATAAGTTTCTTTCGTGACAGTCTTACTAATCAAGTTATTTGGCCTGTTTTTAGCCACATAGGATATTTTTTCTTTTTAAGGTTGCTATGAGTGTTGTTTGTAGCAGCATCAATAAGCCAAGAATTCACATAGTTACTCAATCACACAGATTACTCATCATTGCCTGTTCATAACAGAATCCTAAATGTTTAAGATTTCTAATGCAAATCAAAATCTCATCATCACTGTCATTGCTAAATTAAATGACAGGATAATAACATTACATTAAAACCATTTTTCTCTTGATTGAGTACCTTTTTCAGAAGTGAACCTTCTAGATGTATATTTTTTTCATCAGTACTATAAATGCATTTAGAATCCAAGATAAAAATAGAATTTAAAGGGGAGGAGTGGGATGTTTTCAAATTATTGATGAGGCTCTTTTGAATCTCAACCATATTTGACAGTGTACTGTTAGGGAATGGAGCAGTTCAGCTCAATTTATTGACACTTTTAGAGATACATAAAAGAGGCTAACAGGTTGAGCTTGGTCTTTATTGAAGTAATCATGTGTTCTTAGCATGAGTTATAAGTCACCCCATTGCAAACTGACCTATAGGAATTGGCATTGCTCTGTTCTAATATGAGACACTGGCTTCAGCTAAATCACAACTTACATGGGAAATTAATATAAATTTCTAACCTGCAAAAGTAGTGTAGGTTCTCAGTGGCCTTACCATTGTGAACTTCTCTCTTGACCTTTCTTTCCTATCTACAGCTAATTAACTTTTTGGTCGCACCTACCCTCTATCTGCTCCCTCTGGCCCATGGCCCACTTCTTTTTGGCCAGCTAGCCAGTGTTTGTGCCACCTGAGCCCATTTTCTTCACTTGCCCCAAGAACTCCACAGAACTCTTCTTTCATTTTAATCATTTCCTTCCATCCTTCAAATATTTTGTTTCTTCACACCTTCCTTCATCTTTAATAATATGAAATATGAAAATCATACCCTGGAGCAAACCTTTTATTATGTTTGCCTCACTTAATACTATCATCATTAGGTAATAGCATTATGGTAAAAATTCTGGCTGTTGAAGAATTTGATGAAGGTATGACTCAAACAAGATTGGCTACAAGATGATAATTATTAAATTATTAAATCTGGATAATTGGTGGATGAGGGTAAGGGAAGTCAGTATGCTGCTTTCTCTACTTTTATAGGTTTGAAATCTTCCATAACAAACATTTTAAAATAACTTAGCTCTTTAGCATTCATTTTTTTTTAACAGATGCTCTTCTTGAGTGAGCACATGAAATGGTGTGGTATGCAGGATGGACTAGGACTAAAACCTGATCCTCCTCTCTGAACACCCTGCTCTTACTCTACCCATTAGTAAACAACAAAAGATTCTTTAGTACCTGGAATTGTAACTTCCCTCTTCTCCTTAGCTCTTGTACTTGATTATCAGAATCCTGGAACACTTCCTGCTTCTTGTTAAAATGACCAGATAAACCCATATAGAAATGTACATTAATTTCAGCCCATTTATTAAATCCCACTGTGAATAAAGCTCTGTGCTGGCATTTGGAAAGGGAATATGAAAGAAAGGTGTTCATGAATAACCCTGATGCAGTACAGACACTAGCCACAACAGTGGGCTCTAGGAGACGGAGAGGAATTCTGTCAAGGAGACTCATTCTTGGTAATGATGCAAACTGCTAAATGTTGTCCTAAAGGAAGAGGTAATCTTCCTTGCTTCTACTTATAGTTCTAATTGTTAAGACTATTCAGAACTCTACCATATAGGCTTCCCTCTCTTCTAAAGAAATTTAATTGATTCCAGTTACCAATATGCCTTTTTCCTTCTCTTTTTAAATTATGATAGTCTTACTCCTCGTTTGCCAAAACCTGGAGAAACCATCCATGGACATAAGTTTTTTATTGGCTTTGGAGGGAAAGGTGCCAACCAGTGTGTCCAAGCTGCTCGGCTTGGAGCAAAGACATCCATGGTGTGTAAGGTAAGTACGAAGTATAGTGGAGAGGATTCTAGAGGTAAGAATCTGGTTTTAAGACTTCAGTTCATTGCTTTTATTTTTTTCAGCCATTTTAAAGTGAAAAATTCAGTGGCATATAATACATTCAGTGGTATTCAGTACATTCAACCACCACTTCTATCTTGTTCCAAAACTTTACCATCATTCCAAAATAAAATCCCTTACCTCTTAAGCAGTTCCTCCTTCTTCCCTCTTCCCTTTAAGGCCCTGGGAACCACCAGTCTTCATTTTGTCTCTATGGATTTATCTATTGTGGACATTTTATATAAATGGAATATATGTTATGTGACATTTTGTACCTGGCTTCTTTCACTTAAAATACTGTTTTTGAGGTACAACTACCTTGTAGCATTTATCAGTATTTCCTTCTTTTTTAGGGTTAAATACTATTCTATTCTATGAATATACCACAATTTTTTTGTTCATCAATGAATGGATTGATGGATGCTCGGGCTGTTTCCACCTTTTGTCTGTTATGAATAACATTGCTACTAACATGAATGTACATGTACTTGGGTACCTGCTTTCAATTCTTACGGAAATTCATTGTTTTTAAAGATCTAAATAAGAGAGAGTAGTCTCCTTGTCCTTTATATTAATTTCTACCTCATTAAATCCTCTGGGAAGTAGCTGTTCTCAAATAACTTAATGCTGCATTCCCTGAATGTAATGAGTTTATAACTGGGGTGTAAGAAGTGAGGGAAATTAGCCTACCCCAGTGGGTTTCTGTCATCCAGTTCTAAACAACAGCATGAGTCATAGGTTTCACTGCAGCAACACGGCTTTTGGAAATATGGTGTAATAACTGACGATTTACTCATCTCTAAGTCATTTTCTTCTAATGCTGTATCTTAGATCAGAAATGAATCTGGGCCTTAATGAACTTCATATAACTGATCTTTTAGCATAGTTTTGTTTTCATATATGTAGAGATATGGTATTGTAACATACAGTAGTCTTGTTTTTATCCATGCTACTGAAATAATTTGAAAATAAGTCAAATGAAATGGGCTGCCAAAGGTTCACATTTTTCATTTTTTATGAAATTTTAAGTTGCTAGCATTATAGTGTTAGTATAACAGGAAAGGTAGATGATTGTGTTTGTTTGATTTTTAGGGAAAGTGAGGCTGGGTCTGCAAATTTTTAGAGGGTAAGAAAAATGTAAGAAACTTAAAAGAATGAGGTTTCTCATGTGAACTATGTAGATTTTACCAAAAATTCTCTGAAATGTCATTTTTCATTGCAGTCAGCACTTTTCTCTCCACAGGAGTTTTTAAATGATGTATAAACTATACAATTATCACTTCATCTGCTAGCGAACTGTAATTTTATTTCTAACTTACAATTAACATAATTTTCACATGGATATTTGGTCAAAAACATCACATGAAGCATAAGATTCAAAGTAAGAAACCCTCTTTTGCTAAGATTGAGCTCTTTATAGGTTTAAAATATCGGTGCAATTAATCAGCAATTAATTATGTTCCAGGAATTTTGGAGCTGTGAGAGGGGGCTGATTAAAAACTTTGGCCTGACCCATCTCATACCTGATTAGCTATGAAGGGTTTGGGGAGTAATCGGATGGTGCTGACTTAATTAAGAGGACCTGGAAACTGGAAAGAGGATGATATAATTTCCTGTCTAGGAAAACCTGGACATAGAATTGGTGTTGGAAACTATCCACCCAAAATGGCTTCCCTGGGAAGAGGGGAGTTCCTAGAGCTGGAGACGTTAAAGGAGAAAATAGAGAACCCCTCCCTCTTGGAAGCTTTATAGAAGCTATTTATGTAGCCATTAAAGTCAAGATTGGATGTCCCCTGGGATCTCTTCCAACCCTAAGATTTTGAAATGGATTTTATTTTAGGTCCATTGAATTTGAGGCAAAGAAAGAAATGAAAAAGAGAAATATTTGAATTATGGAACTGAACTTGGGAAATGAATCCTGAAACCATATGAGTGGATGGGAGAGGAACAGAAGCAGGGGCCTGTATTTTGGGAAATGTTCCAGTTAGGGGGTTGATTAAAGCAAAAGTACTAATTGTCTTATTCTGGTTTGTCTATAATGGTTTATGTTGGCATCTGTACAAATTTGAAAGTTCTACACATCTACCATGCCCTGATTTAGTCATCTAACATTTAGTACCATAGTGGATTTTAGCCGTGCAGAGCTAACCCATAGGCTATGTGCTCAGAGGGCAGTGTATGGGCTGTTAGCAACTATATTTACATGTACATTAAATTATATGCTAATTAAGAGGAGGGTTATTCAGAACTTTTTGGAAAAAGGGTGGGGAGTTTCCAGAACTATGTAAGGTAACTTCTGGGCCATTGCTATGGCATTTGTAAACTATCATGGGTCCAGTAGGAGTGTCTTGTGCTAATGAGCAGTGAGGCCAACTAGAGGTCGCTTTCCTTGGTTTCAGCCAGCTTCTTCACTGCACCATGTTTTTACCAGATTCTGCTTCCACCAGCAGGGTCCAGCTGGAAAATAAGTCCTGCTAGCCTCCTAACTTGATGCATGAAGGCGGTCCTCAGGCTAGTGCCAGGCTGCATGCAAATTATCACTGGTCCAAACAGTACAGGAATTGAGAGTAAGCAGTTAGAATCATTTATAGCAATTTGACAGAATAAATTTATAGCTGTTGAATATAATAGTCATAATAAATTAGGCCTTATAGTTTGTATGACTCTTTTTTGTTTTCATCTCATTGTTATTGTATTTTATGAAATTGTTAGTCCACAATGGATTGAAAGCAAGAAAAGGAAAAAAAAAGACCAGTCCTTCTCCACAGATAGCATAGCTTGAAAAGCAGTGCATTAGCGTATCCATCACCTTAACCAAAAAGTACCTTCTGTGCTAGATTACTGTGGGAGAATCATGTGATCATGCATTGAGATTTTCATTTTCAGAGATCAAAAATTAGTCACTAGGTCTTTCCAGGTAATATATAATGAAGTGAAATCTGTCCTTTCCTGAACTCCGTTGAAAGACAGCTAGCTAAAACTAGTTGGCTATGTTGATTGGAATGCTTGGCCATGTGTTCAAACAAATGATCCTATAACCAAACAAATAGTATACACCTTATATAAGAAAAAAATGGTAGAAATTAGAGAAAGTAACTGGATTATTTTCACCACTCTCAGATAATCAGGCCTCATAATGGTGATTATAGCATTAACTTTGTATATTAAAGGCCTTTATTTTTTCTGAGACAAGATCTCACTCTGTTGCCCAGGCTAGAGTGTAGTGGTACAGTCTCAACTCACTGCAGCCTCAATCTTCCCAAACTCAGGTGATCCTCCTGCCTCAGCCTCTCAAGTAGCTGTGACTACAGGCACATGCCACCATGCCCAGCTAATTTTCGTACTTTTCATAGAGACAGGGTTTCGCCATGTTGCCCAAGCTGGTCTCAAACTCCTGAGCTCAAGCGATCTGCCTACCTTAGCCCCACAAAGTGCTAGGATTACAGGTGTGCATCACCATGCTTGAAGGCCTTTTTTCTTTCTCCAGAGACAGGTTGCCTAGGTTCTAGTACTATGGTGCAGTCATGGCTCACTGCAGCCTTAAACTCCTGGGCTCAAGCAATCCTCCCACCTCAGCCTCCAGAGTAGCTGGGACTACAGGCATGCAGAAACACACCCAGCTAGCTAATTTTTAAATTTTTTGTAGAGATGACATCTTGCTGTGTTGCTGAGGCTGGTCTTGAACTCCTCTCTTCAAGGAATCCTACCACCTCAGCCTCCCAAAATGCTAGGATTATGGCATAAGCCACCGTGCCTAGCCTAAAGGCCATTATTAAGATAAACACCCCTTTATCTAGGATTTAAACAACAAGCAAGCTTAAATAACCAAGATTTTATATATTATTATTATGTCTTTTGTTGTAAGGCCACAAATGACAAATTAAAAGTTAATATGAAGGATTTATTCAAAAAAGCAATGGCTGGGTTTTGTATGACAACAAATGCAGCTTAGTCTCCTCAGCTAGCTGTTCATTATACCCCTCAGGCACTGAAAAGTCACAAAATGTCTTAAGTCACAAGGATTACATTATATTCATCTTAGTTTTAGTGTTAATCATATTTTCTGTATTCTAATGCTTTGAAAATTGGTAACCTGTTTTAATATATGTGATAACTTCTTGAGCAGAATATTCAGTTTCAAGTGGCCTTGGGTAGGATATTTTGCTCTTCTATATTTTATTCACCCCCAAATATATGTTGAAGAGCAGAATTACTAGATGGTTTCTGCCATTTGAAGATTCCAAGCAGCCTGAACAACCATTCCTCAATCATTTTGCAAAATAGAAGTTATGGTACTGACTGAAGTTGCCCTCTTCAGCTTCAGGTCATAGTTTTGGACTCTGGAAGATATGCCAAGGCTCTCCTTCAGTGCAGAAGGAGCCATCCCAGTGGTAAGAGTGAAAGAAGCACCTCAGCACCCTTAGCTGGAACAAATCCTCTTGTTCCTCATACACTCAGCCCTTTTGCTTTCCATACCCTTGCTACATTGTCAAATAAAGAAGCCATTAGTCACTTGTGGATATTTAGATTTAAATGAAGTCAAAGTTAAAAATTGAATTCATCAGTCATATAGTCTGTATTTTGAGTATATGTATTGGGCAGAACAAATAGAAACCATTTTCTTTATTGGACGGCACGGATATAGAACATTTCATCACTGCAGAAAGTTCTGCTGGATGGGACTACTCTACAATATTCAGGACAGAAGTGAGTCTGGGATTCCCAAAGAGCATTTGAGTTCTGAGAGTTGCCTTGGCTTATGTGCAAGTGCTTGTCCATAGTTGCTCTTGACCAGGCTTCCATCATGTGGAACAAACTCACACAGGCAGGCTATCTCAGACTATGGAGGTTTCCAAGAATCTTTCTGCCCAAAAGTATTTCACTGCTATAGCCAACAGAGTGTGAGAGTGCCTTCAAGGAGGCTGTTGGAAACAAAACCTTGTATGGAACCATTCTAGAATAGTTTGGGTGCTTGTAGTCATGTTCCTTGAAGAATGAAACATGACTACCATGACTACAAGATGGGTCCAAGGAAAATGAACAGAAGGACAACTAGTATGATTAAATCCTAAAGAGTCTCCAGTAAGCTTTTAGGAAGACTAGACTGGCCAGGTGTGGTGGCTCATGCCCATAATCCCAGCACTTTGGGAGGCTGAGGCGGGTGGATCACAAGGTCAGAAGATCGAGATTATCCTGGCTAACATGGTGAAACCCCATCTCTTTGTAAAATACAAAAGAAAAGTAGCTATAGTCCCAACTACTCAGAAGGCTGAGGCAGACGAATTGATTGAACCTGGGAGGCAGAGATTACAGTGAGCCCAGATCACATCTCTGCATTCCAGCCTGGTGACAGAGCGAGACTCCATCTCAAAAAAGATGACTAGACTAACAAATATGAAATTGCCAACAATATAAGATTGTATTGAACTATGGGCTTGGTTAGGAATCTTACAGGAGATCTGTTATGAGAATGTTATAGGAGATGAAAGGATTAACAAGGGCCAGACTAGGGAAGGTAGACCCTAAGTTGATGCTTGAAAAACAAGTGAGGTTGATTTGGTGGAGGAGAGGGCAAAGGAATTCTAAGTTCTCAGAAATGATGGCAAGGAAACAGACAGGTTTTTTTCTATTGATATATCCAGAAAGGAACAGTTTTCTGTGGAAGAATAGAAGACACCAGGAGTGACTAAAACTTGGATAGAGACATAATCCACTGAAGTAATGCTCACCTGCAGGACAGAAAAACAGAAGTTCAGTCCAGAGGTGGCAAGCCTACAGGCCTACAGGAGCCAAGCAGGTAACAGAAATTGCAGTAGGTTAGATAGGGACTGTGATGAAGTCAAGAGCCTATGCCTACTTTAAGGTACTCCCCTCTCAGTTCCAGGTGGGTTGCCTTGCAGGAATGTGGACTCAGTGTTACCAGAACCTCTGAATTTTCAGAACCTCCTGGAAATCTGTTTTTTTGAAGTCTTCTAATATGTAAATATTTAGAACTGATTAAAATTAAAAACAAAAATAGCAGGGCATGTACACCAAAACCTGCACACAGATATTTTAGCAGCTTTATTCATAATTTCCCAAACTTGGTAGACATCCTTTAGTAGGTAAATGGATAAATAAACTCAGGTACATCCAAACAATAGAATATTATTCAGCCTTAAAAGGAAATCAGCTATCAAGGCACAAAAAGACACAGGGGAGGCCGGGCATGGTGGCTCACACCTATAATCCCAGCACTTTGGAAGGCCAATGCAGCAGATCACCTGAGGTCAGCAATTCGAGACTGGCCTCAACAACATGGAGAAACCCGACTCTACTAAAAATACAAAATTAGCCAGGTGTGGTGGCATATGCCTGTAATCCCAGCTACTCGGGAGGCTGAGGCAGGAGAATTGCTTGAACCCAGGAGGCAGAGGTTGCGGTGAGCTGAGATCATGCTATTGCACTCCAGCCTTGGCAACAAGAGCAAAACTTCATCTCAAAAAAAAAAAAAAGGCACAGAAGAACTTTAGTTGCATATTACTAAGTGAAAGAAGCCAATCTGAAAAGGCTACATACTGTGTGATTACAACTGTATGATATTCTGGAAAAGGCAAAACTATGGAGGCAATGAAAAGATAGTGGTTGCCATAGGCTAGTGGGGAGAGAAGGATGAATATACAGAATACAGAGGATTTTTAGGGTAGTGAAACTATTGTGTATGGTACATAATGGTGGGTATATGACATTTTACATTTGTCAAAGCCTGTAGAATATTCAACACCAAGAGTGAACCTTAATGTACACTATGGAGTTCTAATGATAATGATATGTCATGTAGGTTTATCAGTTGTAACAAATGTACCACTTAGTTGCAGGATGTTAATAGTGGGGGATACTAATTGCAGGAAGAGACAGAGAGTATATGGGAACCCTGTACTTTCTACTCACTTATGCTGAGAACCTAAAACAAGTTTTTAAAGCCTATTTTTTAGAAAACAATAATAGGACAGATGAAACATATCTAGCAGTCACATTCAACCTTCAACCCACCAATTTACAACCTCCGCTATAGATTCAACTGTAGAATTCAATCCAAGATCCAGCCAAGGTAGCAGTCAGACAAATGGTTAGCTTTAGAGAGGTATGGGAAAAGATAACAGGGGTGTCCTGACTTGCACAGTGATTGCAGCACCACAGAGGCCAGAAATGGACAGTAGGGATTTGTTGGTAGGATGCCAGCAGTTGGTATCAAAGGCCTTGCAATCATAGCTTTCTGGCTTTGAGCCAGAGACCTAAAGGTCTGGCCCCTGCAAATGGCTGGCCAGGCAGAGAAGAGTGCCTGTTCTGAAAGAGCAAGAGGGCTAACAGATGATTAGGGCACACACTCATGCTGACAGAAACAGGGAGAGATCAGTTACCGAAGTGGACCACAAAGCAAGAGTTTGGTCACAGGATCCAGGCACAAACACAGCTACTTAAATTATGGTTCAGTGGTTCAGAGTTACACTAGGCACTAGGTTAACTAGCTTTTTCCTTTCTTTTTCTTTTTTTTTTTTTTTTTTTTTTGAGGCGGGGTTTTGTTTTTTTTTCCCCGGCGGGAGTGCATTGGCGCGATCTCGGCTCACCGCAACCTCCGTCTCCTGGGTTCAGGCAATTCTCCTGCCTCAGCCTCCTGAGTAGCTGGGATTACAGGCACGCGCCACCATGCCCAGCTAATTTTTTTTTGTATTTTTAGTAGAGACGGGGTTTCACCATGTTGACCAGGATGGTCTGGATCTCTTGACCTCGTGATCCACCCGCCTCGGCCTCCCAAAGTGCTGGGATTACAGGCTTGAGCCACCGCGCCCGGCCCTCCTTTCTTTTTTTTAATGGAGATCTGTATTTCTAGGCTAACTAGTTTTAAAGCTAGTCAGGACTTTTTTTTTTTTTTTTTAACAGTCTTGTTTTGTCGCCCAGGCTGGGTAGTGGCACTATCTTAGCTCACTGCAACCTCTGCCTCCTGGATTTAAGCAGTTCTACCTCAGCCCCCCAAGTAGCTGGGACTACAGGCATGCACCACCACACCCAGCTGATTTTTGTATTTTTAGTAGAGACAGGGTTTCACCATGTTGACCAGGCTGGTCTCAAACTCCTGACCTCAGGTGATCGACCTCAGGTAATCGGTCTACCTCCACCTCCCAAAGTGCTGGGATTACAGGTGTGAGTCCCTGTGTCCGGTCTGAAGCTAGTCAGGGCTTTTTAAGTAATAGACAATAGACACCCAATTCAAAATAGCTTAAGCAAAAATAAATAAATAAATGTTTAAAAAATAATGTATTGCCTCATGTAACTGAAAAGCCCAATGGCAGAGCTGGCGTCAGAGACTTAGGGGTCCATTAGGAGTCTGTGTCTGTTTGTGTCTGCCATCCTCCTGCTTTCTATTATGTTTCTCTATTTTCTTTCTAGCTACCTCCACGTGGTAAGCCCCAGTAGCTTCAGGCTTACATTATTTTACAGCCAGCAATCTTACTGGGAAGAAAACTTGTGTTCCCTGGTAGTTTCAAGTCCCAGGATTAAGTCTTATTGGACTAATTTAGGTCACATGCCCATTCATGAACCCATCACTGTGACCAGGGTGGTAAGACACCCTTTTTTTGGTAAGACACCCTTTTTTTTTTTTTTTGAGTCTTGCTCTGTTGCCCAGGCTGGAGTGCAGTGGCACAACCTCAACTCACTGCACCTCTGCCTCCCAAGTAGCAGGGACTATAAGAAACACACTTTTTAATCAGGCCTGGGTTCCTTGTTCAACCTAATCACGTTGTCTATAGAATGGGACAGAAATGGGTGTCCAAAGGAAAAACTGAAATACCTTTAACAAAATAGATGTTAGGATGCAAAAACAGAATTCTGTTATATCAAGTTACCCAAGTTAGCTGGGGCCTTTGAAATTTCCTTCTCTTTGCCCCCACGTGTCAGTGTCAAAGGAGAAGATAAGAAGATTCTGGAACATGAGGCAAGTCATGACAAGGATGCTCATATTTACAGTGAAGTACAAACAGCTAAGATTCTTTATAAATATTGAGGGTTGAAGATGGTAGACAATTGCATCTCCGTGGGAATTATCACATGAACAGCTCAAAATGAAATTGACTTAATGAGTGACATTCATTAAGTACTTCACATTTTAAATAGGCTATAAGTCAAACATTATTATGTAACAATTCTATGGGCTGCAATCAAGCCTAGCATCTTAAGAAAATTAATTAGTTAATGTTTATAAAGTACTGTGCAGATATGCCCTTTTAAAATGCTAAGTATTCTAAAAACTACATTGTTAGCATTTTACTAACTATAAAAGATCTAATATTCATTATTTCTTTGGTACAGGTTGGCAAAGATTCTTTTGGCAATGATTATATAGAAAACTTAAAACAGAATGATATTTCTACAGGTAAAATTCCCATCTTTTTTAAAGTTAGTGTTTATAGCTTTTTTTCTGTGATTTTGTGATGTGAAAAATTGAATCTAGAGAATTAGTAGACCTTCCCCTGTTGGCCAGAGAATTTTTATGTACAGGCTTTGTCCATTCTTGCTTAAATGTCCTTTGGTTGATTCTTCCATGTACATTCCTCCAGATGGGAATAAAATTGTAGGAATTTACAAACCTTTATCTCATGGATATGTGACAAATGACAAGGAGAAAAAGGTGCTGCATTCACAGAACATGTTTGAAGAAAAGTCATTGAACGTTATAGCTGGAAACAATCATTAGAAGCCATAGAGGCTGATACCATTATTTCACAGAAGAGAAAACTGAAGGCCAGAGATGTTCTGTGATTTTTCCAAAAACACATGGTTGGAGCTAGAGCCAGGACTATAATGAAGATCTTCTGACTCCAGTTCAGGGCTCTTTGCTGCTACCAAAGGCTGCCTGGTCAGCATTTCTGTTTATATGCCAGACCTTGATTCTTGGTGAAATACCAAGCTTATGAGAATGAAAATAATCAGACAAGTTCATTTTATAGGTTTGACCTTTACTTTTTATCTCAACTCTGACATTCCTTTCAATGAAGAACGTAAGTGTGTTGGTCTAGAAAAATGCATATGTATACAATTATGAATAACTGGAATTGAAAGTAGAAGCAGTTTGGTAGGTTGTTACTAATGCAGAGAAAAGGTGCAACTAAATATAAAGCTGTCTATTTTTCTTGTATAAATGATGGGTATAAATTAGCACTAATTACTTATTTTTTTTATCATTCCAGATGGTTAAAGGTTAAAAAGTTTTTCCAAGTATTAGTGTTGTATCGAAATTGTTAAAATAAATTATCCATGCCAGTCTGTATACATGTGATTGTAATTTTCTTTTTTCTTTCAGAATTTACATATCAGACTAAAGATGCTGCTACAGGAACTGCTTCTATAATTGTCAATAATGAAGGTAAGCGTTTTGCATATTGGAGTGTCATTTCATAAGACAGTTTATTTCCAAAGCTAGATCGGAAGCATCTATTTTTACCATGATTCTATGGACCTCTTACTATACCCACCACTCCAAGGCCTAAAACATGCTTTTTCCAATCCAAATATAAATGTGTTTCCCTTTATTTATACTTCTCACATTGATCATTCAGATCAATTTTCAGACAATTTTCAAAACTGTCTACCCACTATATATGAAGTTGCCTCAAAATACTATGTATATGCTCTAATGTCCCCATTACCCTTCATGTAAACTTTTAATTGACATTTGTCTCTAAAAGCAGTCAAGCATTCATCTGTCATTTCAGTTATCCTAGGTAAATAAATGTAAATAGGTGCAAAGAAAGTTTGATGAGTCATATTTATAGAATATGTTCTGAGCAAATGGCAGCAACTAATTACATCTAACTTATCGTTAGTGTTCAATTTTGCCTGCTGTTTCAATGGCAATCAAATCTCAAAAGTCTATATATACAACTAAGTCTGCCACAAGGCTTTGCCATAGTTGAAACATTTACCTTTTAAAATAGTAATTGGGCCTGGCACAGTGGCTCACACCTGTAATGCTAATATTTTGAGAAGCCGAGGTAGAAAGATCACTTGAGGCCAGGAGTTCAAGGCTGCAGTGAGCCACAGTCCCACCGCTGCACTTCAGTCTGCATGACAGAGTGAGACCCTGACTCTGAATAAATAAATGAATGAGTGAACAAATGAATGAATGAAAACAATGGCTGGGTGCGGTGGCTCATGCCTGTAATCCTAGGACTTAGTGGGGGCCAAGGCGGGTGGATCATTTGAGGTCAGGAGGAGTTCAAGACCAGCCAGTTCAACATGGAGAAACCCTGCCTCTACCAAAGATACAAAAAAACAATTAGCCAGGCCTGGTGGCACATGCCTGCAATCTCAGCTACTCAGGAGGCCAAGGTAGGAGAATCGCTTGAACTCGGGTGGTAGAGGTTGCAGTGAGCCAAGATTATGCCACTACAGTCCAGCCTGGGCGACAGAGCAAGACTCTGCCCCTCCCCCAAAAATATATATATAAAATAACAACCTTCAAGTCAAGTTTTCATAATTTCTGCCAACTGTTTTAATTCTAAAAACACCTACATAAGATTTTTTAAAAATCAGAATCAATATTCAGAAGGACCAATCATTTCATGGGGCACCTTGGACGGAACCTCATGTGTTATAGACAGTGTGCATTGTGTTAAATTAGGATTTGTCACAATGTGTCTTTTATTTATAATGTAGTGTTGCAAGATCATTTCTCACATAAAATACAGTATTTTTAACTCAACTTTAGTGATTCCAAGTTGCAATAATAATATATTTCACCTAGAGGTGGTAGATAAGAGTTTTCATTCTAACTATAGAAAGCCTGTGTTCATTTAAGCTACATTTTAAGTAACTATTCCTGCCAACAACAGCTCATTCCTTGTCTTAAACCTCTTTTTTGTTGTTGTTGTTGTTCTAGGAATATCCTCAAGTTCTCTTTCTTATCTGTGAATCTTGCAAAGATATAATGTAATAGTGTGTGCTGAGTGTCTACTTTGGTAGACCTTGCCTTGTTTACCATGTACAGTAATGCCCTCAAGACTATAGGTGGTAATAGAAGAATTAGGACAAATACACAGAGATGGGACAATCAGCTCCTTTAAACAAAAGGAGCAAGTTTGCAAGATAAAGTAGTGAGTTTAGTTTTGGTAAGTTAAATTTGAGGCATGAACAAGCTAGCCATGTGGCATTGTCTATCAGACAGTTATAGTCTTAGGCTTATTGCTGAGCAGCTAAGGCCAGTTCAAAAATTTGGATCTGGGAGACAGCAACATGGAAGCAGCAGTTGACTCCAACAGAGAATGAGGTCACTGAAGGGGAGATGCAGTCTTTCAGCAAGTGGTTCTTTGAATTTTTCCAGGACTGAGGTTAGGTTTATGCTGAACCATCCTCACTTTATTAAGTCTTCCTCATGGCCAACAAACACATCTGTGGTAAGATGAGAGAAAAGAATTTGTTCTGTGTTGAGAGGTGATTTTAGGTCATGTCTATACAACATCAGCATAAGCAACCTGGAGCACAGAAAATGCCTGCTACAACCCATTCCTCCAGATCAGTATTGTCCAATAAAAATAAAATGCAAACCTAAAGTGCAATAAAAAAATACATATATATATATATATATATATGTAAAATAAAATGCAAGCCACATGTGGAATTTTAAATTGTCTAGTAGCCACATTTTTAAAAGTAAAAAGGAACAGGTAAATTTAACTTAGGCAATATATTTAACCCAATATATCCAAAATATTATCATTTTAGTTTATAATCAAAATTTTATCTTGGCCAGACATGGTGGCTCACACCTGTAATTCTAGCACTTTGGGAGGCCATGGTAGGTGAATCACTTGAGGTTAGGAGTTCAAGATCAGCCTGGGCAACATAGTGAAACCCCATCTCTACTAAAAATGCAAAAAAAAAAAAAAAAAATTAGCCAAGCGTGGTGGCACACCCCTGCAATTCCAGCTACTTGGGAGGCTGAGGTGGGAGAGTTGCTTGAACCTAGGAGGCGGAGGCGGCAGTGAGCCAAGATCATGCTACTATGCTCCAGCAACAGAGAGAGCGAGACTCCAAAATTTATCTTATTTTTTTTTAATTTTTAAAATGTTAAGAATTAATGGATATTATACCTTATACCTTATTTCCTTTGTACTGTCTTTGAAATCCACTTGTAGTTTACTTAAAGCACACCTCAGTTTGGACTAGCCACATTTCTTTTTTTTTCTTGAGACAGAGTCTTACTCATTCTTGCCCAGGCTGGAGTGCAGTGATGTGATCTCAGGTCACTGCTACGTCCGCCACCCAGGTTCAAGTGATTCTCATGTCTCAGCCTCCCCAAGTAGCTGGGACTACAGGTGCATACCATTATACCTGGCTAATTTTTGTAATTTTAGTAGAGATGGGTTTTCACCATTTGACCAGGCTGGTCTCGAATTCCTGACCTCAAGTGATCTGCCCACCTTGGCCTCCCAAAGTGCTGGAAATTATAGGTGTGAGCCACTGTGCCCAGCCAGGACTAGCCACTTTTCGAGTGTTCAATGGCCATATGTCGCTTGTGCTCATGACTACCATATTTGGCAGCACAGCTCTTAAGAGTTCACCTTACAGAGGAAATGCACCACCACCCTCTCTCATTTAGGTGGGATTATAGACAGCGGGTCCAAGTAATAAGAATATATCAGGGCCAGGCACAGTGGCTCACACCTGTAATCCCAGTACTTTGGGAGGCCTAGGTGGCTGGATTGCCTGAGCTCAGAAGTTTGCAACCAGCCTGGGCAACACGGTGAAACCCTGTCTCTACTAAAAAAATAGAAAAAATTAGCCGGATGTGATGGAGCTACTCGGGAGGCTGAGGCAAGAGAATTGCTTGAACCTGGGAGGCAGAGGTTACAATGAGCTGAGATTGCGCCACTACACACCAGCCTGGATGACAGAGGGAGACTCCATCTCAAAAAAAAAAAAAAAAAAAAATTCCTTAGTTCTGTTTCTGTTTGGTTCATTACAGTATAGGCCAGATATCCCCTCTCTTCTATATCTGATACAATTTTCTGTCTGTTAGATATTTAAGATGTGTTTTGATTGACAGAATCACTTTTTAGAATACCATAGGATACGAACTGCTTGCATTCTACAGTGTCACACAAGTTTATTCCTATTTATATTCGTCTCTATGGCATCTGTCATTTGGGATTCAGAACTGCAACCACATACATATACCAGATATTTTCCACAAAAGAAATATTTGGCTGAGCACAATGGCTCACACCTGTAATCCCAGCACTTTGGGAGGCCAAGGTGGGCGGATCACCTGTGGTCGGGAGTTAGAGACCAGCTTGACCAACATGCAGAAACCCCATCTCTACTAAAAGTACAAAATTATCTGGGCATGGTGGCACATGCCCGTAATCCCAGCTATTTAGGTGGCTAAGGCAGGAGAATTGCTTGGACCCGGGAGGCAGAGGTTACAGTGAGCCAAGATTGTGCCATTGCACTCCAGCCTGGGCAACAAGACTGAAACTCCATCTCAAAAAAAAAAAAAAATATCTTTTTAAAGTATGTTATATGTCATTTCTCAACTAATATTCTTTGTATATAAGAATATTGGGAAAATCTTTTTAAGATTTTACTTAAGGTGATCAGAATAATGTGAGTCTTACAGAGATATAAAAGTTACATTTGGAACTCAGAATTCTAGCTGATACCTAGAAATGTTAAAATTGATACAACACATTTTTTATAATAACTTTACAAGGGTGATTGTATTAATAACACTGCAGAATATCATTGCTTGGCTTTTTTTTAGTTTTGATATAAATAGGTGGAATTTCCTTATAGGCCAGAATATCATCGTCATAGTGGCTGGAGCAAATTTACTTTTGAATACGGAGGACCTGAGGGCAGCTGCCAATATCATTAGCAGAGCCAAAGTCATGGTCTGCCAGCTTGAAATAACTCCAGCGACTTCTTTGGAAGCCCTAACAATGGCCCGCAGGAGTGGAGGTAATTACACATGTTTGTCATTCTTTCTATGAAAGCTTTTATCGCTGTCTTAATTAAAGTTAACCTTTTAAGTTAAGCAAAGCAATACTCTTTCTGTAGTAAAATATTCTTCCTTCCATCTGTTAGATTCACAGTCTTGTGGTTCTTGATAATGTTAGAAAACTGTACAAACAGGGTAAAAAAAAAAAAATGAGTAGCATTTCCGAGATCCCTCAATATAACTCTTCAATGTAGTTGGCAGAAATGGTACAAACAGAGTTAGAATCCCTGAAGCAGCCCCTTGTTCAAAGTACACTTTAACTTTAGGTGTTGAAATGTTTTCTACTCTGAGAAGCAGAGGTTAAGCTGCATGTTATACATACAAATACATACAGACATACATACATACATACATACATACAAAAGTAACTGGGGCAGCCCAGTTACTTTTTGATAAACATCTCTAGGAGGTGAAGATAGTTTTTTTCTCCTTTTTGTAAAATTTTATCATCTTTTCAATAAACAACAAAAGATTATTTATATGTAATATTTTCTGTGTTATCATTGTCCATTGACATTGCCTCTTTTGTTTGACCTTTGATTTTGAAAACTTTCCAGCCTACAGAAGCAGGCAGAATTGTATGATGAAATCTATCACTCAGCTTCCACAGTTATCAACCTGTAGCTAATCTTGATTCATCTGTTCTCCCATTCACTCCTCTTCTCTTGCCTCCAGCAAATAACAGACTTTTAAAAAATCCAGATAATTTTTTTGCTTCATTTTTAACACTGACTAGTGGTGAAAGCATCTTCTAAATTAGAATCCCATTTCTGTCCCTTGTCAGCTTCATGGTCCTAGCAGAATTACCTGATTTTTCTGAGCCTTGTCAGTAAAATGCATATAGAAATACTCTTATCTGCAGAATTGCTCTAAGGATGGAATAAAATAAAATATGATGTCAAGCATGGTGTAGTACATGTTGGTAAGTCCCAACGTTTTCTCTTCCATCTACTACTCTCTTTAAATTAAAATTAGGATAATATCCTGATCAAGCATCATTTGGTTAAAAAAATCAAAATAAATAGTAGCCACTCTAACATGAGGACTTCTTGATATTGTGGCAATAATTCTGTGATTTTTTAAAAAAATAAAATAGAGAACCACATCGACTTTTTCTCAAGATCCAAAACTAAAAAGAAAAGGAACAGTGTGTATGTGTGTGTGTGTGTGTTTATATAAGTGATTTCTCCCAAAGTGTATAGTGTTCTACATAGAAATAAATGGAAAATAAGTCACTGAAATGATTTTGTGGAGAATTTTTAAATGTTCATCCTGATTTAACAAATTTTCCTCTTGGCAAAACAACAGGCTGTGGTAAATTTTCACTGACATTTAGTGTATTTTTAATGGACTTGAAGCTGTCAAAAAGAATTCTAAGCCAAAACCCATTTGGTTACATTTTCTCAGAGTGTCACAGTAAAGTCTAATGCTTATGGTACGCATTCTCTGCACTGTGCTCATCTCAGCCGAGTGATGTGAATACAGTGTGCCACCCTGCTCCTGCTCTTGTCTTTCTTTGTATAGATCAAAGCATATTCTTGTGTAACTTCTCTTTTTTTCCTACTATCCCTTGCTGCTCAGAGATCACTGTTTCCTCTGTCCTAGTCTAGTTGCCTGTTACCTACCCAGCTTGTGGAGGAGAGAAAAGGTACAGCAGCCACAGTTGAGGATCTAACCTTTCACAGGTGAGACTAGAGTAATCCCAAGGGGCAGGCAGCCTACCCTGGGGCTATCATTGGGTGGGGTCCAGAAAGACTTCCTCCATCCCCTTCCATGCAGCTCTTCCAGTTGGGAGCTGGAGGACCTGGGGCGGCAGGAAGGTGGGTAGGTGACGGTGGGTCACAGACCACTTGACCTACTTCACACTTTCACTAAGAGCCAGCATGCCTAGGTATTAATTCTGCATGAATGTTGTTATATAATAATATCACAAACAGTAATACCATGCATTTACATGTACATTACAGCTTATAAAGTACTTTATTACACATTTTATCCTCAGAAAAACCTCATGTGAAAGATATGGCAGGCATTGTTCTCTCAGATTAAAGGTGAGAAGACCGAGACTGAGAGATTAAGTAATTTGTTCAACCAGTGTCACACTTTAAGTCGAGGAAACCAGGATTTCAGACTCTACGACCCAAGTTCTGTCTCCTAGACCACTCTTTAAACTCCCACAATCCATTGATTACAGCAAACTGAGCCTTTATGAAGAGTATCTCTAGAAAAGTGAAGTCTGTAAGTGTTAACACTGTCCAGCACATGTCCTAAGCTTTGTGTGTTTTTGCTGCTCAAGAAACAGAGAAGAGGCTCTAAAGTATTTTCAGCACTATGACCCCAATAGAAAACACACATACACACACACACACACACACACACACACACACACATGCACACAATCACACACAGTCATCTGTTCAGAACTCCTCCAGTCAGGTGGCTTTCTCTGGCCACGTCACCTGGTCCCTTTTGGTAGATACTAGCCAGATGCAGCTTAGATTCTATTCCATGAGGAGGGTCTGTGTGACTGTGTGTGTCTGTGTGTGTGTGTTTGTGTGTGTGTGTGTGTGTGTGTGTGTGTGTGATGCATCATCATTCTCATATGCAAGAAGAGTGGTATAATGAAAGGAGAACATTGAGTTGGGAATCATGAAATACGGCTTTAAATTCATAATCAATCAGCAAATGGGGCATCTCAGTCAAGTAAATCAGTTCCTCTCTCTGGACGTCAGTTTCTTCTTCTGCGAAACCAGAATTGGGCTGAGAGCTCTCAGAGTTCTTTCATGTCACTTTGGACTGATCCCAGAGCAGAGTGGGCAGAGCTTAATGATCTCTTGAGCACTGAGCACCCTACCCTTTGCCCCAGGAAGCTGTGTATATGCTGATCAGCATTATTCCATCTTCAAGAAAGGTGATGAAGTCATCATCGTCATTATCGTCTATGATTATCACGGTTGCATTTTTACTGCTTACAAGTAGTGAATTTTGAATTAAACACATTGTGTAACTAGATGATACTAATGTAACAGCTATGATAATCTATAGAGGAAAAGATCTTTGATATACTGTCTCAAAACTCTCTGTCTCCAACAAAATGAAAGCATTGATTTTAAAGACATAGCAGCTAAAATACCAAAAATCAGTAGCCCTGTATAGCTCCCATCCTCACCAGGCCATTATGCTAGGAGGTAAGCCCACTGAAGAGCCAGTGCTGCAGCTGCTTGTGATGAAATTATGCATGTTGGTTCTGGTCTTTATATCCATTTCCAAACAAATGGAACAGTACACGAACAATGATAAATAATTGAGATTGTAAAATTGCCAAAGTTAAATTCTAAGTATGATACAAAATATCTTTTAATGCCACTTTAGTCCTTCTGCCTTTGGCAAGCGAAACTTCTTGTCTGGCCATCTGGACTTTCACAATGACATTATCCAGCACATAGCCCAAGTTTTGAGTGTTTTTGCTGCTCAAGTTACAGAAAAGAGCCTCTGGAGTAATGTTCAGCAAAGACAGTATTTTTAGTATCCTAGTATTCTCACAGTGTCTCCATTTAGGGTGATTTTCTTCCCTGGTTTCTTTGAGCAAATTATTAGGGTCTTCCTAACTGTCCAGCCCCTGCCCTCCATGGCAACACCATAAAGAGCTTCTGCCTCATTTTCCTGCCTTTTAACCTATACAAGTGCTCCTCTGGGCCTCACCAGTTCCTTACTGACATTATTGTGCTATCTATTAACATGCAGTTAAGATAACTAAGAGTTTAGTCCATCTGACATTGTAATTAATAATAATTACTATTGGGTGCTGCCAGTCACCTCTGAACTCCAAGTTACTTTGTGGTACATTCTGTGCTCTCTAGCTCTGCCTGCTCCCAGGATGACATCATGTTTTCCACCTTGTCTGTTACAGATTTGCATTCTTCTTTGATTAACTACATCCACTCATTCATGTTTCTTTCATCATGGTAGAATATTTATGCTCATTTGTGGTAGCACAAACTGAGAAGAATGGCATTTACACTTTTCCCCTAAATTTAGTTACTAGTCAGGCTCTAAGCCTATGTATCCTGTTACTGTTGAAGAATGCTGTCCCTCAGTAAAGTACAGGCAAATAAGATTGATTCTTAAACAGTATTTACAATAAAATTATAGAATTCCTTATTCTAGCAATTGAGACTTAAATTTTAATGTAATTTTTCCTTAAAATTTGTTTTTATTGTGGAAAATTTCAACTATATGTGGACATACAGAGAATAGTATGCTAAATCCATATATACTATCATTTAGCTTCAACAGTTACCAACACGTGGCCAGTTTTTTTTTTTCTTCCTTTAAATTCCATCTTTTATTTTAGATACAGGGGGTACACAAGCAGACTTTTTTTTTGTTTTGTTTTTGTTTGTTTTTTGTTTTGTTTTGTTTTTCTGAGGCAGAGTCTCACTCTGCCTGCCCAGGCTGGAGTGCAGTGGTACAATCTTGGCTCACTGCCACCTCCCAGTTTCAAGTGATTCTTATACCTCAGCCTCCCAAGTAGCTGGGATTATAGGCATGCACCACCACACCCAGCTAATTTTTGTATTTTTAATAGACACAGGGCTTCACCGTATTGACAAGGCTGATCTTGAACTCCTTACCTCAGATGATCCACCTGCCTCAGCCCCCAAAGGTACTAGGATTACAGGTTTGAGCCACAGTGTTGGGCCTTCATATGAAAATTTGTTACATAGGAATATTGTGCCCAGGTAGGGAGCATAGTACCCAAGAAGCAGCTCTTCAAGCTGTGCCCCTTCCCATTCCAGTACTCTGTAGTATCTGTTGTTCGCATCTTTCTGTCCATGTATGTGCAATATTTTGCTCCCACTTTCAAGTGAGTACATGCACTGTTTGGTTTTCTGTTCCTTTGTTAGTTTGCTTAGGATTATGGCCTCCAGCCCCATCCGTGTTGCTGCCAAGGAAACGATTTCATTCTTTTTTATGACTATAGAGTATTCCATGGTGTATATGTGCCACATTTTCTTTATCCAGTCCACTATTGATGGGCACCTCGGTTGATTCCATGTCCTTGCTATTGTGACTAGCATGGTGATGAACATACAAGTGCATGCTTCTTTTTGGTATAATGATTTGTTTTCATTTGGGTGTGTACACAGGCATAGGATTGCTGACTTGAATGGTAGCTTTATTTTAAGTTACTTGAGAATCAGCCTCCGAACTGCTTTCTACAGGAGCTGAACTAAGTTACATTCTCTGCAGCCTCAACAGCATCTGTTGTTTTTTGACTTTTTACTAATAGCTGTTTTGACCAATGTGAGATGATATTTCATTATGGTTTACTTTGCATTTCTCTAATGATGAATGAAATGATGAGTAACTTTTCATATGTTTGTTGGCAACTCATGTGTCTTCTTTTGAGAAATGTCTGTTCATGTTCTTTGCCCATTTTTTAATGGGGTTATTTGTTTTTTGCTTGTTGATTTGTGTAAGTTCCTTATAGATTCTGCCTATTAGACCTTTGTCAGATGCATAGTTTGCAAATATTTTCTCCCATTCTGTAGGTTTTCTATTTACTGTATTGATCATTTCTTTTGCTGTCCAGAAGCTCTTTAGTTTAATTCAGTCCCACTTGTCAATTTTTGGTTTTGTTACAGTTGCTTTGAGGGACTTAGCCAAAAATTCCTTGCCAATGCCAGTGTCAAAAGGGTATTTTCTAAGCTTTCTTCTAGGATTTTTATAGTTCAAGGTCTTACATTTAAATATTTAATTCATTTTGAGTTAATTTTTGTAAATGGTGAAAGATAAGGGTCTAGTTTCATTCTTCTGCATATGGCTAGCCAATTATCCCAGCATCATTTATTGAATAGTGAGTCTTCCCCACTGCTTGTTTTTATTACACATGGCCAATATTGTTTTATCTGTATCCTGATCATGGCTCCCTACCCCGCACTGCCACCTTGGATTATGTTAAAACAAAACTCAGATGTTATATCATTTCATTCATAGTATACCTGTTTTTTGATGTAAGATACTATATGTTTTAAGAGCGATGTCTTTGCATACAGCACTTAATCTGTAGCTCATTAATTTAGTAAGTAACCTCTCTGACATTTTTTCTTCTATGTAAGTATAAAAATGTAAATACATATATAGTTATATATGTTTGTTATTTGTTCTTTTGAAAGAGGGAGGGTAGACTGGGCATGGTGGCTCACACCTGTAATCTTAGCACTTTGGGAGGCCAAGGTGTGAGGATCACTGAGCCCAGGAGTTCAAGAACAGCCTGGGCAACATGACAAAACCTCCAAAAAAAAAACACAAAAAGAGAGAAAGAGAGAGAGAGAAGGGGAGCAGGGCAAGGGAGGGGAGGGGAGGGAAGGGGAGGGGAGGGGAGGGAAGGGAAAGAAATTGGCCAGGCATGGTGACAGGTACATGTAGTTCTAGCTACTTGGGAAGCTGGTGGGCAGGGATCACTTAAATCTGAAAGGTGGAGGTTGCAGTGAGCTGAGATTGTACCACTACACTCCAGACTGGGTGACAGAGCCATCTCAAAAAAGGTGGGTGAGGTGGGTGGAGTAGGTGGGCAGTGCAAATGTGCCTTGTTCATTTATAAATAAATTATAGAACTCTTTCTCTGACAAACGGAGATCTACTTTATTCTTTTTAACAGCTGTAGTGTGTTACATCAGACATGTATGTTACAGTTTTGCTCTTGTTGCCCAGGCTGGAGTGCAGTGGCACAGTCTTGGCTCACTGCAGCCTCTGCCTCCCAGGTTCAAGCGATTCTCCTGCCTCAGCCTCCAGAGCAGCTGGGATTACAGGCATACACCACCACACCTGGCTAATATTTGTATTTTTAGTGGAGACAGGGTTTTACAATGTTGGTCAGGCTGGTCTTGAACTCCTGACCTCAGGTGATCTACCTGCTTCACCTTCCCAAAGTGCTGGGATTACAGGTATGAGCCACCAAGCCCGGCTTATGTCATAAGGTTTTAAACTAATTCCGCTTGATAAATGTGTAGGTTTCTTTTTGTGTTTCCTCTTGCAAACAAGAGCTGTACAAACAACATTGTATATCATCTTTGCATGCCTATGATTTCTGTAGGATGGGTTTAGAAAAGGAATTGCAGGATCAGGCAATTTCTACAGAAATCAGGATTTCTGTAAGATGGGTTTAGAAAAGGAATTGCAGGATCAGGAAAAAATGGATCTTTTAAGAATGGCTCCACCTGCATGATCTGCACATGTACCCCAGAACCTAAAGTACAATAAATACAAAGAAAAATTAAAAAAAGAATGGCTCCTACCATGTTGTTCCACACTGGTAGCTTGCTCTAACCTGTGCTCAAATGCTGATGAATGTAGATTTGAGGATCACACTAGGCGAGCAGTTGTTTCCATTTAATGTTTGAGGAACATTGGGAATGATATATTGTCCTGAAAACCTAAAAAGTTTAAGTGAGTGTGTTAGAATACTGGACAATGAGATCCTTTATGTGTAACTGACATCTCTAAGACCACTGAGAAGTGAGAGAACCAATGAGCAATACTGTTGCCAGGCTATAAACTCCAGAAGAAGGCAGAAGAGATGGGTAGACAGGCAGAGGTGTTGGGCTATGTGTAAAGGACAATATAATAACAGTAATAATCCTTTACATTTGTACAGCACTTTAGAGTTTACACTGGGCTTTTACATCCGTTTTCTAATTTAAGCTGCACAATAACTCTATACAAAAATCTGAGCAGCCAAAAATATACCATAGAATTTCTGTGGGTGGACATTCTGGATTCTAAAATAACAAAAATGTGGGAATAGTATTAGCCTATACTGGGCAAGACCCACTGACTGAATCAAAATTTTAGGTAAGACCAAGGAAGGTGCAAAAGTAGACTAGATGTCCTCACCAGGCTGAAGTAGCAGATGGTTTCCATTAGCCACATGCTGATTAGCTTCTTCCCAGGAATGTGGAATGGATTAGTGCCCAGCTGGCTATGTGAGAGCCACCTGGAGAACTTGTGAACATGCAGATTCCCTGATCTTACCGCTAGAGATTCTGAGTCAGTGGGTTTGAGGTCAGTCCTAGAAATTATGTATTTTAACAAGCTCTCCTAGTGATGTTGATATGCACCCAAGTTTGTAAGCCACTGCTGAGAACTGCAGCTAGAGAATTTTACACTATGGGTCTATAGTCGATGAGACTACTTAACACGCATGTCAGTGCACCTGGGTTGAGAAAAGACTAACCAATCTAGTTGAGTACTCAAGTGAATAAGTACCATAACAAAGAGGAAGCTTCCTATGAATGTCATTTCTAAAGACTTGAAATATATGTGTGTATATATATCTATACACATACACACACAAATATATATATCATGTATATATACATGTATCACATTACATATTCCAACTTGGGTGACATGTGTATCACATATTACCAAGTTCCAAACCAAAGGGTGTTTTAAAATATTGTTAATTGGCATTGGGGTATGTGTTGCTGTGGACAGAGTCCTAGCCTAGAGAGACCACTTTTTTTAGAGTGGACCAAACTCTGAACTTAAACCCAGAGGAACCCTGGGTAGGAGTCCAGCTTAACAGTGTCCATTGTAGGACCTTAGACATGTGACTTCATCTTTCTGAACCTCACTTTCCTCCCTCTGAAAAATGGCTGTGATGTATTCATTTCCCTGTGTCTGCTCTTCCCATCTATCCTTCTCTTGTAGTCTCTCAGTCTGAGCTAGCACCACCCTCTGATTGAATTCCTCCTCCTTTCTCAGTCTTTTTTTTTAATATTCCCAGATTGCTCACAAAAGCCAAGAATGTAAGCTTTTGTGTAAGTGCATATGTTGCAGGAGTAATTGTGATATATTTGGGAGGCATACATAGGTGTACAAAACATGCATACGCACATGATCTTCGTGCTTACTATTCCCACCGGGAACATTCTGAACTCTTCATTGTTTCTTTCCTATCAGCTCTTTTTCTTCCCTGGAAAATGGATTTATGAACTTGCCTTGAAACCAAGCACTTAAAGTAACACACAAAAATGCTCACCACCCTGTTCACATTCACACATGTCCTTTCATGCCACAGCATTTTTGCTTTTCTCTGATGTTCTTGTTGCCTTTGCCTTAACTCTATAATCATGTTGACTGTAATATTGCCGTTTTTCCTGGAAGGTGAAATGTTGTAAAGTACAAAGTAGAGAAAACGGAACTAAGGAATTGGTAGCAGGCTATTGTGGAAACTGAGAGTTCATACTTTTCTCTATATCTGTAACTAAGTGGATATTTAACCAGATGAAGACAAAAATGAACTCGGGGATTTTCCCTACTAAACATCTGTAAATGCACCGTGTTAAAAATGAAAACCAATAATAAACCCCTTTTCCATTCCTTTGTAGTGAAAACATTGTTCAATCCAGCCCCTGCCATTGCTGACCTGGATCCCCGGTTCTACACTCTCTCGAATGTGTTCTGCTGCAATGAAAGTGAGGTAAGGGTGAATTGCTTTGGTCATTCGGTGAGAAACCAAAAGTTCGAGCAAGTAGATGAAGCAAAGGGGCAGAACTAACTACATCAATTTGATGACGTGAATTCTCAGGCATGGTGAAAACAGATTTTTTCAGTTTACTGGGGTGTGGAGAAAAGGAAATTAGTAAATCCTGGGGGGAAAAAGGGATTCTCTGAGTCACTTCCATATTCTAGCACTTATCAAACCTCAGCTAATTTTAGTCCCTTCTTTGCCCTCACACTATGGGTGTTTTGTTTTCTTTTTTAATTATTTCATATTCTGCGAACTATAGTAGAGTTGCCAGGTTTAGCAAGTAAAAATACAGGATGCCCAGTTAAATTTGAATTTCAGATAGATAATAAATAACATACCTAACAAATTTATACTGTAAAATTACCTGTCAGTTATGTTAAATTCAAATTTAACTAAACTTCCTGTATTTTATCTGGCAACCCTAATCAGTGTAAAACTCCTGGAGGATCTGCTACATTCTGTTGTGAAGACCGTGTCATGATGTGTACATCTGAACAGACTATCTATCAATTGGTACAATCAGAAAGGGTATTGTACCACCCTTTCTTAAGTATTGTTAGAAAGAAAATTGTAATATTTCTCCCTTTTTATAATCCAGAAAGCATCAGAACAAAGCTCTCTCCCATTATTGGGATGCAGGTATACACATTAGTGAATGTAACATGGAGAGAAAGAAATTAATGAACTGTAAAAGTTGAATTTCCATTTTCTGTTTTTGAGACGGGAACTCACTGTGTCACCCAGGTTGGAATGCAGTGGTGTCATCATGCCTCACTGCAGCCTCTACCTCCCAGGCTTAAGCAATCGTCCCACCTCAACCTCCCAAGTAGCTGGGACCACCATGCTTGGCTAATTTTTAAATTTTGTGTAGAGATGGGATTTCGCCATGTTGCAAAGGCTAATCTTGAACTCCTGGGCTAAATCAGTCTTCCTACCTCAGCCTTCCAAAGTACTGGGATGACAGGTGTGAGCCACTGCCTGGCCTAATTTTCCATTTGGTTTAAAGGTTAAATGAAGGTTTCTATGATTTCTTGACCTGCTTTCTTGATAATTTCATCTCTCAAAACATAGAGGAAATAAGAAAGAAGACTGCTACAAATAAACTAATTTTAACAAACCACAATAGGTTATGCAATATTTTTTAGCAACCACCATGCTAGGAAGAAGGAATTGTGGGAAATGGTGACCATTTCACAATAAGAGGTTAGAGTACCCTCAACTGCTAAACTGGCCTAAACTTTCCTGCTAGATACTTGAAGAGCACTCTATTTATTTCTCAAATGTTCATCACAGCTCAAATTACTTGTTCAATTCTTCTGTCTTTCCCATTAAATTACAAGTTCCATGAAGTCAGAGACATCTGTCTTATTCACTGTTGTATCCCTGATGGCTATCCCTGTGTATGTAGTTATCTATTGCTGCATAATAAATTACCTCCAAAATGTAGTGGCTTACAACAGCAATAATTATTTATTGCCACTCCCAGCTTTTGTGCATCAGGAATTCACACAGGGGATGGAATGGTTTGACTTTTCTGCACAATGCCCGTGGCCTGAGTTGGAAGACACAGAGGCTGAGAGCTGGAAGTTTTCTTCACTCACATACCTGACAGTTGATGCTGGCTTTTGGCTGGGGGCATAATGAGGTTGTTGGCCAGAACACTTACACATGGCCTCTACTTGTGACTTGGACTTCCTCATAATATGGTGGCTGGGTTTCAAGATCCAGCTTCCCAAGAGAAGGAGACATCTGGCAGAAGCCATGTTGGCTTTTATGACTTAGCTTCAGAAGTCACACAGCATCACTTCTGACTCATTCCATTGATTTAAGCAGGAAGGTCCACCCTAGTACCCGACCCCTTAATAGAAGATTGTCATTGGCACAGTGTGAAACCAGGATGTATGATATGATATGTTAATATGTTTATCTTTGGAAAATAATATCTGCTACACTGTACCTACACATTGTTGGCACTTAGCAAATGCCTATGAAAAAACTCAGGTCTTTTTTTTTTTTTTTTTTTTTTGAGATGGAGTCTCTGTCGCCAGGCTGGAGTGCAGTGGTGCAATCTCAGCTGACTGCAACCTCCACTTCCTGGGCTCAAGCAATTCTCCTGCCTCAGCCTCCCAAATAGCTGGGACTACAGGCACGTGCCACAGCACTGGGCTAATTTTTTGTATTTTTAGTAGACACGGGGTTTCACAGTGTGGGCCAGAATGGTCTTGATCTTTTGACCTCATGATCCGCCCACCTCAACCTTCTGAAGTGCTGAAATTACAGGCATGAGGCACCACGCTCAGCCAGAACTCTGGTCTTTAAGGAAATTGGTCTCAGAAACTTAATGGAAGTAAGAAAAACATTAAAAGCTTAATGTTCTTACAGATGAACTCTAATCACAGTGATAATGTAAATTCATACTTATGATACTGTGCTCCAAACACAAACCATTGATATGTAAATATTAAAGGAGACAATGAAAAGACACAAGCTCTAAAACAAGATAAAAACTCCACAGATCAGAAATGGAACAGCCTCACAGAGCATTCAGCCCTGGATATGCTGGCCGTATAGCCCCAGAAACAGGCAGAGGTGGTAGGAAGTTTGCTCACTGTGGGTCATGGGCACAAAAAGTGTGCCACTTATAGGGGACTGAAGCCAAGCCCACCAATGGAAACCATACATGCTGGGCCGTGGCTTCCCTGCTAACAATAAAAGGTGGAGGAAGCTCCTACCCCTGCTGCCTGAAGCATATATAAGGCTCCCAAACCGAGGCGATAGGAGGACAAAGACACAGCCTCTGACCAAGAAGGAAACCAAGCCAACCACTGACACTTAGTGACTGGACTGGCAGTAGCCCCAGAAACAACAGAGCAGGAACTCCCTATTGCCAATATAATACCTGGTTCTGGTTTAGAGACTCTTATGTGCCTGGTGGATGCTACTATAAAACCACTGAGGGCCAGGCATGGTGGCTCATGCCTGTAATCCCAGCACTTTGGGAGGCCGAGCCAGGCAGATCACAAGGTCAGGAGATTGAGACTGTCTTGGCCAACATGGTGAAACCCTGTCTCTACTAAAAATACAAAAATTAGCTGGGCATGGTGGCGGGTGCCTGTAGTCCCAGCTACTCACAAGACTGAGGCAGGAAAGATCTCCTGAATGCCAGGGCATTGCTTTTTCGGCTGCCTGTCAGTACCTCTCCTAATCTGCTTCCATCTTCTCTGGCAAAAACAAACAAAAGAAATGAATAGTCTGCACACATGGAAAGCAAAAACTGGAAATTTGAGAAGAGACACTGTGGCCCAGGAGAGACCTGGAAGAATTATGCCCTTAGGTGCCAAACTTACAGGTTCAATTTATACCCAAATCATTGGCAGTGATCCTTTCCTTTCTCCTTTCCTGCCTCCCTTCCAACCTTCCTTCCACCACCCCCTTCTTTTTTTTTTTTTTTTTTTTTTTTTTTTTTTTTTTTTTT